TGAAGGATCCACGAATTCTCCTGGAAGTCGAAGTGTCGTACCATAAACGAGTTGAGACGCAGTGTATCCAATGTCAGCTTTCACTGCATTGCGGATACCTAGTAAGACGAGTGGAAGAGCGTCGGTCCACTGTGAAACGTTTGTAGCTGATAGCGAAGCTTTCAGTTGTCGGTGAAAACGTTCTACCAACCCGTTTGCTTGTGGATGGTAGGCGGTCGTTCGGAAGCGAGTGATTCCTAAAAGCGTGGTCAGACGACGGAAAAGATCGGATTCAAACTGCTGTCCGCGGTCTGTAGTAATGGTTGAAGGGCAGCCGAAGTTTGCTACCCATCGTTCGACGAAGGTGCGAGCCACTGTTTCAGCAGTGATGTCCTTGATAGGTACTGCTTCTGGCCATCGAGTGAAACGGTCTACGCAGGTTAAGAGATAAGAGTATCCATTTGAATCTGGTAAAGGTCCTACCAAATCCAGATGAACATGGTCGAAACGAGCATCGGGAGTTTTAAACGAGCCTAAGGGACATTTATTGTGTCTGATAACCTTAGATTTTTGGCAGCTTACACAGGAGCGTGCCCACTCCCTCACGTCTTTATTCATTCCAGGCCAGCAAAACCTTTCTGCAATAAGCTTGATGGTTGCACGAACACCTGGATGCGAAAGTTTGTGCAATGTGTTGAAGACATTGCGTCGATAATGTTTCGGCACGATTGGGCGATCCCTACCTGTAGATGTGTCACAAAGTAAGGTTTCCTTACCCGTTCCCATCTGTTTGATGCGTAGTTTAAGTGTTGTGGACGATAACTCGTGCTGAAGATCACTGTCTTCTTTTTGAAGCTCGGCGAGTTTAAGAAGGTCGATTCCTTGGAAACTGTTCAAGGAAGTTATACGAGATAAAGCGTCTGCAACTACATTGTTTGCTCCAGAGATGTGTTGAATATCTGAAGTAAACTGCGAAATGTAGTCCAGTTGTCGAGACTCACGTGGAGAGTACTTGTCAGAAAGAGAGCTTAACGAGAAAGTGAGCGGTTTATGGTCCGTGAAAAGAGTGAATTCACGGCCTTCGATGTAGTGTTGGAAATGCCGTACAGCACAATACATAGCTAGGAGTTCCCTACCGAATGTGCTGTACCTCGATTCGGTGTCTAGCAACCTTCTTGAGAAAAATGCCAAGGGTTGCCAGGAGTTGTTAACCCATTGTTGTAAGACTCCTCCGATTGCCGAGTCGGATGCGTCTACTGCGATGCTAATGGGTGCTAGGGTGTCCTGATGTGCGAGCATCGTTGCTTTAGCAATCAGTTCCTTAACTGTGGAGAATGCTTTTCGTGCCGTGTCGTCCAAATTAATGGATTTCGCATTTCCACGAAGTTGGTCGGTCAGAGGTTTCATAAGTAATGCGCATTTCGGTATGAAACGTCTATAGAAACTTACCAGGCCGTTAAACGTGCGTAATTGCTTGACGGTGGTCGGTTCTGGGTAATCCAGAATGGCCGCCACTTTGGTCCTAAGAGGTCGAATGCCTTGAGCATCGATAGTGTGTCCTAGGAAGTCTAACGAGTCGGTTCCGAATTGGCATTTCTGAACGTTTACAGTTATGCCATGTTTTTGAAGTCGTTCGAAAACAAGATCCAGATGCTTGAGATGTGTTTCTCTGTCCGGACTTGCGATTAGACAGTCGTCAACATACGCGTGTACGAAGTTGAGACCTCGAAAAACGTCGTCTATGAATCTTTGGAATGTTTGAGCAGCATTCCTTAGACCGAAAGGCATTCGCAAAAATTCATAGAGTCCGAAAGGAGTTATGATAGCTGTTTTCGGTATGTCGCCAGTAGCCATAGGGATTTGGTTATACGCTTTAACCAAGTCGATTTTCGAAAAGACAGTTGTACCTTTCAAGGTAGCTGTCAAATCGTGAATGTGAGGCAACGGGTAACGATCGGGAATGGTTTTCGCGTTCAATCGCCGATAGTCACCAGTTGGACGCCAATCGTTGCTGTCCTTTTTAGGGACCATGTGCAACGGAGATGCATATGGGCTACTTGACGGTCGTATGATTCCTAAGTCCATCATGTGATCGAATTCGTTTTTCGCTAACCTTAGCTTTTCAGGAGCTAGTCGTCGTGCTTTAGAGAATACAGGTGGTCCTGTCGTCGTGATGTGATGTGTAACATTGCTGGTTACACACGGTAGTTTCGGTTGAGTTTGTTGTATCCCAGGGTACTTATCGAGTAGTGGTTGATAGAGTGGGTCTATCATATGTTTAACTGTGACTGGGGATACTCTACAACCAGTAAAGGAAGTTACGCAAACGGACAAATTAGTGTTTCCGTCTACTAGCCTCCGTTTGCGAGTGTCGATGATCAGATTGTGGTGTTGTAGAAGGTCCATACCAATGATTGGCATAGAAACATCTGCAACAACGAAAATCCAGTGGATGGGTTTGCGTAAACCCACGTTAAGGTAAACGTACCTTTTGCCATACGTAGCGATCGGTTTTCCGTTTGCCGCCTGTAAGTTTAGGGTCGATTCGTGTAGTCGGTCGTTAGGATTTGCTGGGAGAACGCTAACTTCTGCGCCAGTGTCGACGAGGTAACGAACTCTCGTTGTCACATCTGTGACGAATAACAGACGGCTTTGTTCGCCGGCTACGGTTGCCGTTAACGCGTGCCGGCTTGGAAGTTTCCCGAATCGGTTTTCGAATCAGTCGGTTTCGTGTTGGGAAAATTGCAGGGTTTTCTGCAATTTCTGGAAAACTTTCCATACTGGTTATGATACCAGCACCAGTCGGGGTTATCTGTCTCTCGTGGTCTAGAGACAGATCGCTTACGAGAAATGCTTCTACGTGGTGTGCGCGATCTCTCACGGTCGGTACGAAGACTAAGATAACGCGTGAGTATGTGACATAAGTCGTTTATATCATTCTGAGTCGTTTGAGGTTTTTCTTTGACTGAAAATACCTCAGTTGTAGGTTTCGTAATTTCTAGAATGCGGTCGGCAGATGCAGCTAGTTCGTCTAAGGCGTTGTTCTGGAACGAGACCAGAACTGCTTGCACCTGTTGGGGAAGTTTTGACAAGAAGAGTTGTTTGAATAGGCCTTCGTCGAAAGTTCTTGGGCCTATTACCTCTCTCATCCGTTGCAACATGTCCGTCGCAGAACCGTGTTGCAGGTCGATATTGTTGAAGAGTTGATCTAACCTTTGTCGATCGGTTAGGTCTCCTCGTTTAAGAATCGAGCGTTTTAAGATTTCGTAAGGATCGGAAACATCACTAGTAAACATACTAGGTGTTACGTACCTGTTGAATTCGCGCGGTAGTGCCTTGACTACTGCGAGGAATTGTGCACGTGTGTCGATCACGCCGTGCTCGGAGAAGTCGGCTTCTGCGTAGCAAAACCAGGCTTCGATGTTGTCGGGCCAGAAAGGCATGAGTTGAAACGAAGGCGAGGACAAAGTCTTAAGCTTGAGTACTTTAGGTGTCTGTTAAGTCATGATGAAGTATGAAGTACGATAATGAACAAGGGGAAAATATATATATCCAGGAAAAAACACGAAAAAAAATCACAATGTTTAAAAAAGTTAAAAAAATAAGGCAATGATATATAAAAATCCCAAAAAGGAACAGACTCACAGTTGCAATTAGGTGTACCAGATCACGTCGGTTTCACCAATGATGATGTCACAGGTATTCAGTGTTTGACAACGCTTCTACCAGTAACACCTTCTAATATATTTCGTTCCCGCCCAGAGAAATCAAAAGACAGAGTCGAGGAGATCGGAAGAGTATATTTGGCGATGACCAATATATCGGAATTCTCTGATCTAATCTGGCTAGCGATTGCGGTTGATGTTGAGCACGGCGTTACCACACGTGATCTGGTACGGATGCCTGACCGAGCGCCTTCAGCTAGGTGAGTCCACTAAAACATATGGTCAGCATCCAATGTCGAAAACTTAGTGCTATTTATTTTGGGGATTTATTTACCGCTATATACTCTATCAATTATCTATTTCATCATAAGTTTAATCCTTCGATAAATTCATCTGTTCGGTTCCAATTCTTATCCACTTTTTTCGTTAGGGAAAACTTAGGCTTATTAGTTAAGAGCTGAAATCTAAGTATGTGTCAAAACAATAGGGCTCAAATATTCTTTCACTTCCTTATTTCCTATAGGCATTATATTTCCCAATTATCCTATATTGAATGTTGAAAAGCTTTGTGTGTTTGAAAAGGTAACCTACCGATCTGTTTTGAATGTTCTACGAGCTAAATAAAAACTTATTAATTACTTGTCTTGCTTCTTCTATCAATGGAAAGAGGGTTGCCTAACGGAACGAAACATTTGCCTCATGTCTCTATACTCTTCCTCGTTACAAATGACCAGTTGACTACTCTTTGACGCGATAGCTGCTGATTATATAAACCGAATCTTTTCAAAGAAAATATGCTTGTTATACTCAAGACAACAATCAATGAAATTTCAGAATTTCGGGTCTAGCCGTATACAGGGAGGATCTAAGATTAGACCTCTTTACTCTATCTTATCGCAAATAGGCATGTGATATAACTTTATGTATAGAATACTAAGGGCTGAGTTTTGAGCTGATGTGTACTTTCTTCTTTTTTTTCTAACCAGACCAGAATAAACTGGTATACATAATGTGAGGATGAACAAATATACCTGTATCAAACACATCCTCACGAGGAGCTATCAACTCTTGGATTCTATTACTAGAAGTATCATCCATATCTTCATCTGTACTGTCAAACTAAAGAACAGAAACTAATAGAAGCTTACTAGAAGGGGACGAACACATGCGTTGGCCTTTTGTCCCCAGTACATAAATCTGAGTCAGAAACCTCTAAATAAGTTTCCAATTCATCAGTATTAATACGCATGCACAAAAATTACTAAAGACTTGAAAAGTCACGTTGATAGTGAGAATTGAGCACAAAGAAGTTAAATGGTTCACTACGGCTCATCATAAAGATATTAGATACTGAACGTACACTGTCCTTGATGTTTACGGAGCTATCAACAAATTAACACGTTAATTGGTGGCATGGATCGTCAACAAACGGAACCAATCCCAGTGAAGAAAGTTACTGTTAAGGACTTATCGCAAATACCATCTAACCACGGGTGATTATTTTTTCATTAAATAATTCCATTAGTTACCCGATTTATTATTACGCAGAGTTTTATTGTCGGTTAACGTTGAGCATTAATGTAAAGGAGATTCAAGCATCATATATATAATGACGCTCATTGAGTGTCTTTGAGGTCATCCCATTTTTCTGACCAAGGAATATAATCTGAGTTTATAGGAAGTAACGTTATTCCCTGACGGCTTCGGCGGTTTAGGACATGGTGATTCACCTTGTCTTCATTCATTGAATTTCGGATGTAGATAGGTTTAACTCGCTATGTTGATTTTTCTGATTCTCTGATTTGGCAGTGAGTTAATAGAATGTGTCTTAGATATGTTCAATGTTAATGTATGATATGCACGCATTTTCTTGCAAGCTTCTAACTTTAAATCCATCAGTTATTTGATTTTACTACCTAAAACTTGGAGCTGTTTTAAAGTACGGTTATAGTAAATATATTGATTCGAAGTAAGCTCTTTTGTCTCGTCTACCAGATTGAGATGTTACTGTTTCCTGTAGCATCATCCCAATACATTGAAGTAGATTCCTAATTCCCATCCCTTAACATTTTTATAAAAAGACACTACTTTTATACCCCAGACAATCGGGATTTCCATTCGAGGCCGTATGCTTGTGGATAGTTCTTAATATACCAAGTTTTAGTATGAAGTGACAATTCCAGCGTGCGTTCACTATCTAAATTCTTATGTTCAACTCTTGAAAGGTTTGTATCAAGCCCAAAGTTACGTTCTGTGTATGCTATAAAAATTGTATGCCATTAACTCACTAAACGGTTCTGTGATTTACATCTTATTATGTAGGCGTGGGATTTGTCCTTTTTTCGGAACATTCACCTAGTTTCCAGAAGTTGAACAAAAATATCATGAGGCAAATCAGTCAAAATACGTAGTTGTGTCAGTAATAATCTGCTTAAATGGATCATAGCTGTTTATGAGGTTCGGTGGTTAGATGGTCGTGGTTCAGCTGTCTTTAGTATCTCGTAATACAAATAAACTATCACATGTATGCAATTAGTACTTATTATACTGAGTCAAAACAATGTTAGTCCTATTTGTCCTACCTGCCTAATTTTTTCTACTATCAATAATACTGTTACTATTTATTCTCACTGTGCTGATGTGGTGTCGGAACTTGAACTAGTATACATATATTCTTGGTTCTGCGTCGCAATTGACTGCCTGGATGTATGTCAAACATGTGTCCTCAAACTCAAAATTATTTTTATTTATTTTATTTTATGAAATAATTCTTAAACCAAATTGTCTATCGCTAATCGTTTCTACTATCAATGATGCAATTCCCACTATTCTAGTATTCGTTTTGATAATTTAACGTCTCTGTTATGATGTGATCTGGTAACTGGAACCAATGTAAGTTTGCTTTAAGTTTTTCAGTGTTTATTTCTGAAGTCTAAATCGGGTTTCAGTACATGATCGTACATAAGATCAATAAACTTTCAGCTTTTGCGTTTATTTTTTAAATTGATCATGAACTTTGTCAAGTAACTTTATCTGCTAAGATTATTGTCTAAATTTAGTCAGTCAACAATTCAGTAGTCGAGGCTATATACTCACTTTAAGATATCTGTTTTACTTCATATCCGTTTAATTATTTCTCATTTATATTGCTATATAGTACAACTCCAGGTGGAACTTTGTTCAGTACTACTCCGGGTGGAACTCGTATAATATATGAACGCGATTTTATTCTCAACTGTCGCAACTCACCAGTTGCTCGAACCCCACCATCTGACATGATATACTTACCAGAAATAACTCCTTCCAGCTTAAATAATGACAAGACAGTCCATCCGTGTAATGGTCACAAGGTGAAAGATTCTCTAAATGTGCCTGAATCAACATCAAATGATCATAACAGACTCAGCAAAGGTAACATATGTTGTCTACTTATGATTTTATTAATACTGGGTCTTTCAAATTTGATTGTGTAATATTAATATCAACACTGCAGAGTGCTTTTAAAATCGTCACCCAATAAATAGTCAATCTATATCATTCATTAATACCATTTAGGTTAAGATTTATTGTGATGTAGAGATGATTTCTTGGTCTCATGCGCCTAACCCCTCTCTGTAGTTTGCGTTGGACAGTACTGCCACTAGTTATCAAACCTAAATTATTGCTTAAAATCAAGTAACAACTGGTGTACTTGATTAATGGGTTACACTGCTCAGCTAAACTGTTAACAAAAAGGCCATAGTAACCATCCTGTCTCATAGCATTAAGATATAATATTGCTTCAAAATTAAAGAGAATGAAGCAAGTAGAATTCCTTTGGAGTTAGTGATATTATTTGGTGATTGTTGTTTACTTAGGCTTTTCCTTATTCATATCAATAGGTCTTCTATCTGTAGTTTAATATTTTACTTTGTCTTCATCGATCTTGGAAATCCATGTTTAAATTGCCACAAATTAAAATGAATCAAGTGTATTTGATAAATCAAATGATTTTGGAGGTGTCTCGATGACATCTCCATTTCAGCAGAATGTTCAACTAAAAATATCATGTTTATAATTTTGGACATCGGACAGAGAGAGTAGTGATGTTCGGAACGTTGCTAGATTTATTATTTATTTTCAAGTGTTCCATGCACAGTTCAAATTGCCAAAGTGCATAGAGTGATAACATTGAGAGAATAAAAACCAAAAGATTAGGGATGATTATGTTGGTAACTAGAGAGATATACAATTCAAACAAATAAACAAAACAAATAATTCATAGACTCAAGATTTTATGGGCAAATAAGATGTGACTACACCGTGCACCATTCATCCACAACTTACGATTAACTTGCGAACGCCATCACGAAAGTTTCCACTTTCCAACAAGGTTCGAAATAAATGTAATTGGGTGTATGAAATAATGTCAATAGTTAGTTTCGCCCTCCATAGCATATTTTAGTCACTTACTCAAATAGCTAGCATTGCATATCGTGACAGATCTTAAGTGACCATGAGAAACATATTTGTAAACCGCTTGAAGTTTGCAAACGATATGATATTTTCACATAATAATTTTTGCCCAACCTTGCCATCATTTAGCATAACTAAAAACGATAAATGTACACGTTCTGTTTTTGAAAAGCATGTTTCACACTTATAATTATTCATAATAGGTTATTTCCCAGTATATATTAATTTATTATTTATTTATTTGAACACATAAATGTTGGTGCAAAGGGGCACCGAATACATATGCGCCACACACGTCACTTGATTTGTGTGTGTACTGTGATACTGCTCGGGTGCCCAAACTGGAGCAGGTGGTTTTCATAGGGGGGTCACACCCGGAGCCTTCGACCTGAAGGTCTGATCTACAAGGCAGTGGAGCAACGTCAGGAGATGCAGTTCCATGGTAGCCGGTCACCAAAAATTGTTCCATACACCATTTGTTCCTTCAGGATCCTGGAGCCCATGTGCACAAATTTAATTTCCTTTGTCTGTTTTCATAACTCCTTGCCTTGTTTTACAGTATAATTAACTTATCATGATTGTTTCTAATTATTTCAGGCGAAGAAGCACCATTTGAAATGGATATTTGAGGAAATAAACTTTAATAAACTATATAGATGTCGCTTATAAACATTTGTAATTCAGATATTCTCTATTCTTCCGTTTACGAGCCATTATTATTATTATTATTAATTTACTTTTGTTTTCAATGAACCTGAAAACAAGCAAATAAATACATATCTCTTTTGCGTTTTGTATTATGTGTTCTTCACACGAGCGTTTGGCTTTTACTAAGCTATATTATACGTAATACGTACTCATAAGTGATATTCTGATCAGGTTTATTTTGTTCAGTGCCCTGGTACGGCCAAGAGTGGGTATATATAACCATATGGGTAAAGTCCGCTCCCCCTCTCGAAATGCTCTCACATGACCACGTGCATACAACAACTACCACGGATTTCCTACTCACTGCCTTCTCGTACCATGGATATTGTTTACGAAATTGGGGAGACGAAAAGCTAATGTCTGATGGGGACTTGAACCGTGTTGGTGGATACAGAGAGTCCACCTAGGGGAGTCGGACAACCCTCATTCCAAACCAATGGTACACATGTGCTCCAGTATCCTGTGGGAACAAATGGCATATGCACCAATCGCTAGTCACCAGCTACCATGGGACTGCATCTCCTGACGTTGCTCTACTACCTTGTGGATTAGACCTTTAGGTCAAAGGCTCCGGGAGTGGCTCCCTAAGAAAACCACGTGGTTCGGTTTGGGCACCTGGGCAGTGTCCTAACCCTCATACAAATCTGATGGTTCATGTGGCGCATATATATTTGGTGTCTTCTTGCACCAATGTTTATGTGCTTAAATAAATAAGTTCAGTAGATTTGAATTTCGGACCGTCCTTCAAGAATTTAATCAACACATATTGACTTATATTTTAGGCGTTTTCTCAGGTAATATAATTTGTATAGATTTATAGTCAATCGATGTAGGAAATTTATATGATGCTGTCTTGTTAAAAGGAACGAATAGTGTGGAGTAAGACCAATTTTAAGACTTCAAAGCTGGCGTTCTGCTTTCGCCTAGTACATTTACATCCGATTTTCCCTTGTTTTGTTTTTAGTTATCTTACTGGTAGTAATGCGTACATGGATTCAAGTTGCCACATTCAATTGGCAGAGTGAGATAAAATTGTCAGGACAAATCCCAGAGTGGTAGAGGTAGTAACAGTATTAATGGTAATATGTTAATATTAGGTATCCAAGATATAAGTCAGGAAGTGTGACACAATGTTAAGTCACGGAATATGTAGTGGATAGTGATTCTATTCAGTGGATCAGTGGCAGTTAAGAGACCCGACTCTCATTCACTGAGTAACAGGTTCGAACCCTCTTCAGTTTGGCCAACTGTGTAATACCAATAGAGTGTGGCACAAAGCTAACCTCATGAGCCTGCAAGTAATGAGTGAGTTAACAGTAAGGAAATACTAGCCGGTTGTCACACATGAACTATCGGTTCACGAAAGAAGTGCTCTAGTCACTGAACCAAGGCGATACCGGTGTCGTACTGTTAGATACTTAATTATTGTCACAAATGATTGACTTGTTCCATCACGAATATGACATGTTAATACCAATCTTTAGTTTGGCTACCCTTCGTAACCATAAATTCCAAACACGAATGTTATTTTAAGTGACTCACTATTACATTAAATTCATTCAGTTTGATTTGCCAGTGGAATGCGACCCTGATAAGACCCAAAACTGTCAGCTTGAAATAGTTGTTGAGTCTATAGGAACTAAACCTGGACCGTTATTGATAAATAATTGGTTAGTTTTTGATAAGCGAATATCACTCAGGTAGTGTACATATACGATTTAGTTATCAGTAATTTCAATGGATAATTGTCCCTCCAGATTTAATTAAGGTTGGGAAGACAAGTATGAAGATGGCTAAAATTATGGGGACCGGTGTTCTGATCTCAAGTCTTTTAAATGTATGGCTACTAGTTGACGTGGAAATCAACCGAAGTGGTAGGTCGGAATTTAAAAATTAGCAAAATGGTGTCTGGTTTTCATTATTCTAATTTTAAAGAAAGAACAGATCCTCCATTGTGTAAGCCAATAAGATTTCCAAGTTAACTAACTTCGTTGCTAAAGTCCATGGAGATATAATCATTCAACATCTGACTAAGAATCCCAAGATTATGTGCTTCTACCTACTAAATGTAAAATACTTTTCCAGAATTTATTTTGAGCAAGTAGAATAGAATGGTTTCCGTCCGTGTAAAGTACCCCAATAGTTGAATGTCCAACTAACCTGTCCTTGTCACCGATGGGATGCAAAAATAGTTCAAGTATGAAGATGATGAACAACAATCCTCCTTGTACTACTTTATAAAACGGAACTGTGACATTAGGATTAGAAGACCTCATATTCTACTACGACTTTAAGTTCAGACCCCCTTTCATCTGCTTCAGTCTAGACCGAAAATTTATATTACTAGCTTTCACGTGGAAAGTATGACTTGGGACAGAATTGGTGGACCTATATTTAATTACTGTCAAACAATAGTTGACAGGAAAAGGTCAGTCAGCAACAACGTAGAACCTCGTACGTAAGTAAATCAGTCCGACTTGCCATACCATATTACCACAGAGATACAATTGTCGATTCAAATCCCATAGTGGTAGAGATAGTAAAAGTATAAGCAGTTATCGGAAAGATCAAGGTTTGAAAATGTTATTCAAGGAGTATAATCCAGTGAAATAAGGAACATATGAATTCAGAAGATTAGAATTTGGGAGAACACAAAGAGTGGATGCACCTGCACTATTGCAAACGATTTCGAGCCATGTCATTCAAGGTCTCTAACCATCAGTTACTACTGCCTCGCGGATCTCAACCAAGTAGTCTACACCTACCAACATGGCTTTGTCCAGCTGTCGGTGACTTCATGGGTTTGTGTCATGTTTTGATCTGGCCGCCTCCAGATTTCTTCAAACCTACGCCTACACCAGAAACCATCGCTCGTCGTGGCAGTCGGTGGTTGGGCATACGCAACACATGTCCGAAACATCTCAACAGATGAAGTCTCACTACTTCGTCAATTCAGTTGCCATCCTTATCTAGTACCCGTTTCCTAACAACTGCATTAATTACTCGGTGGTCTCAGGATATACGAGCAATGCTCCGAACAAACCTATGATCGAATACGAGTGACTTACGAACATCCTCTACTCTTACCGGCCATGTTTCACAGAAATAAAACAGGACGGAAAGAACTGCTGTGCAGTAAACCCATCTTTTGGTTGGTAGATGTATATCTCGCCTACACCACAAATGACGTAAGTTGTCAAGAGCTAGTCGAGCCTTCTGTATCCGTACTGAGATTTCGTCACACACCAGACCACAAGGGCTGATAAGACTCCCGAAATAAGTGAAGTGGTCGAAACGCCCAAGTACTTCACTCCCTATCATTAGTTCAGGTGCCGATTCAACCCAATCATGAAGCAACATTTTGCATTTCGAGTGGGAGAATCGCATCTCGAACCTGCTTGGATTGTTGCTTAGAGTGGTCAGAAGACTCTGGATTTTGTCAGCGTCTTCACCAAATAGTACTATGCTATTTGCATATTCTAAGTGAAAAAGTGAATCTCCCGGTAAAAGTTTAATCCCTGGAAATTTAAATGAGGAAAGTGTCATGTCTAAAAGCACGTCCACGATAAAGTTAAATAAGAATGGAGAGAATGGACAGCCCTGATGTACACCACTTGGTGTAATCAATTCTGATCACAGTTCGCCATAAGCTCTCACTCGACCAGTTGTGTTCGAGTAGGTAGCCTTTATAAGGTTAATGTACTTCTTTGGTACTCCTTTCAGTGACAAACACTGCTATAGTACCTCACAGCCAACGGAGTCAAATACTGCGTTAATGTCGAGAAATACTATTATTGTGGAGCGTCTGAAGGTGTGTCTATGTTCTAGGACCTAATGTAGTGTGAATATCTGGTCTATACAACCACGTCCAAGTCGGAAATCAGCTTGGTTTTCTCTAGTCTGTTGTTCACGAGCTTTAGTTAGGATCGTGAGTTTGATTCAAACACCAAATAACTGATATTTAGCTTATGGATGAAATCTCATTCAATATAAATCATTATAATACTTCAATTTCACGTTGTTTTTTTTCACTCAACTATAATTAACATTACTCATGTCAAATCACTCAATCTAAACGTGTAATTCTAAACGAATATGAGAATAATGAGTTGATTATAGATTGACAGATTAACCTAAAACTTTCAAATATTGTATGGTTGACCTAATTAGTTCTCGATTTCTATTTAATCACTAACCCAGTTGTTTTCAACTGATCATAAATCACGAAATAAAAACAAATTGATCTGCCTCAATTGTTAAATTCACTTGATACTGTTCGCTAGTAACTACCCATTATTGTTTAGGGCTGCAGTTGATCAGTTTCTTGTTGGCATATGTACATACTGCCTCAATATTGCCTTAAGTCACAAGCTCTATAAGCAAAGATGAACAGTGGCTAGCAGTGGAATCCAGTTTGATGCGCATTTCGCCCTTTTTAAGACTCGTCAACTGGATCCACCTAAATCTATGTTCAATCTGGGACTCGTACCCAGTACTGTTCGCTTCAAACGCCATCTTTTCTCCAACTTATGAAGTTAGATCGAAATCTAAAGGCTCCCCTCACCACGACAGTTTATTTTTACTGAATTATCGTTCTATCAAACAAACCAGCTTCTAGCTGAAGAGGAAATTAGGAAAAGACGATGGAAATGGATAAGGCATACATTACGTAAAACACCAAGCTGCATCACGAGGCAAGTCCTAACTTGGAATCCTGAAGGGAATCGGAAAAGAGGAAGGCTTAAGAACACATCACGTCGGGAAATAGAAGCAGATATGAGAAGGATGAATAACAACTGGAAAGTATTGCCCAGAACAGTGTTTGATGGAGAGTGATGGTGGCCGGCCTATGTTTTGGAGTTGATTATTGAACGAATTCATACTTTAGATAAACTTCGGTCTGAACCGACAATCTGAGATTCTGTGTTACCTCGTGCCGTTTGGTGATCCAGAAGTATCTATCACTTCGGGCCAGACAGTACAAAGGTTCAGAAAAGCGTATATTTTAGACAATCATTGGAACTATAAATTGAAAGAGCAACCAGACGAATACAAAACAAATCATTCAAAAGAGATTAATCTTCTAG